GATGATCATTGCAGGCCTTCTTGCAGTCGTCAACAAATTGTATTTTGCTGGAACATGGCCTGGCAGAAGCTTACAGGTATGCTCATATCATTCAAAGAAGAGAACCCCCTCTGTATGCTGCTTTCATAACTTCTGCTGTATTGGAGGTTTCTTCACTGTAGCAAGTCTCAGTTATCACATACTTTTGATGATTCATGATCAATAGTATTGACGTAATTGGCTGTGTTATTATTATTATTATTATTTGGTTATTATTATCAATAATAATAATAATAATAATAATAATAATAATAATAATAATAATAATAATAATAATAATAATAATAATAATAATAATAATAATAATAATAATAATAATAATAATAATAATAATAATAATAATAATAATAATAATAATAATAATAATAATAATAATAATAATAATAATAATAATAATAATAATAATAATAATAATAATAATAATAATAATAATAATAATAATAATAATAATAATAATAATAATAATAATGGTATGTGAGAAGAGGGAATCATCAGTTGATCAAGTAGCACCATGCAGTATGTTGCACTTATCATCATCACCATGTATTTGTCTCATCCCCAATATGTTCACTTCACTTGAGACATGCATATATCAATGCACCTGTGATATGGTGTCTGGCAGATTCTTACTGGCAGATAGATGATGACCCCACCAGATTTGCCCAAAACCAGTGCAAGTTGAGCATTGAGATCAAGCACTCAAATTAATCTTGTCATCCACAAGAGTAACTGGAGAAAGAAAAAGTAGAAGCTGTGTTGCCAAATATTGATATCAAATACTAGTAGAGAAGATGGGATATTTGGTGATGTGTTAAGCTGCAGACAGCACTGCTGGACAAAGGTGTGAGTTCATGTGGACCAACATTTTAAATCAGGGATGATCAATGGATCTATTTCATGTAGATTTATTTATATACATGAAATGCTCTTGCATTTGACAAATTCGGGCAAAGATCATTGACACACAATCTTACAATACAAACAAGTGTCACTAATGAAAGAACTTGATAGCTCTCAAGGCTTATATACAAATGAGAGTCAGGAGGTACACCTTCCACATACAGATGAGAGGACTAATACTAGTGGAATGGAATGTGAAAGATTGTTGGTGTGTGTAACCAGTTATACACAGATTGATGGATGAGAGTGAAGAGTAGTAGTACACTCTCCATCTCCACACACTTGATAGTTGCTTGAAAAGTAATCAGGATTGTTTTGGGTAGTGTACCAATGACAACTGGCTTGATCATACTTGGCATGACCAAAGCCAATGGCCTGGCCCATCTTCCAACAGCAACGCAAATAGGACCATGTATTCTCCACCTGCACAAATGATGCACTGCCATTGCCAGGTGTTGTGGCCATTGGCAACCCAATTAAAGTGGAAGAAATGCCAGAAGGCAGAGGATGCCAAGAGCCATTGCTGTGTGTGCACATCTGCTGATGCATACATGCAGGAGCTGGGATAGCTGCAGGAGTGCAGATGGGTACAGGAGGTGAGACAGGTGAAGGAATGCGGAGATGAGTGGTTGAAATCATGTCATATGCCAGTGGGGTGCCCTGACCTTGGCAACACCAGTCACCCAACACAGACAATGTGTATCCGGGAGGACCACAATAGATGTTAACCAGGTTATGGAGGAAAGAGGCATATCCATGCTGAGTTGTTTGGCCTCATCAAACCTGATCATCAGTGATCAAAGCCAGAGTATCTTCAAAATTGACCAATGCATCCAGGTGAGCTTCCACATAGTTGATGAGGGCAAAAGCAAATTGCAGATTGATGCCAGACTCAGGAGAAGAGGCAGAACTAGGGTGGGTCCCAGTGAGGGCTACCTGACTGTCCCTCAGGCATATGGTAGAGTGGGAAATGTCATTGTGTTGAATGTTGAGCTCTGCTGCAGAGGCAGAGCCAGGGTGGGTTGCAGTGGCAGTGACCTCGCTGTCCCTCAGGTGAACAGCTTTGTTCAAATATCCAGCAATGTTTTCCAAACTCGATGGTGAAGATCTTTCAGCATCCATAGGAACTGGATCGGCCATACACATCACAGCAGGCAAGGTGGACAGAGAGGATGGGTTGCCAAAGTGGAGGTCCACTTCACATGGTGCCCTTGCGGCTGCACATCTCATGTTGTGAGACAACCAAGGGATCTATGGTGAGATCAAAAGTGTGAAGCTTACCTGACCCCCCCCTCCCCAATCCTCTTCCTCTCTGCCATTGGATTCCTGCTCATTGGGCAGGAGATTGACATCCATTTCCATTGGAATGGTTGAAGAGGCAAAGAGAGATAACAACCTATCTCATGTCAGCATGCACCAAATATGATCAATTGTGGCAAGAATACTTGCTTTGAGCAATCCCACCAGTTGTTTCATTTAACTTGCTCTTTGCTCAGTTTTCTTAGTAGTAGAGGTAATCTTGAAGAGTTGATGGTTAGTGATGAAGTGAAGGGAGGGGCTTGGTATCTGCATCTGCTGACACCTGTGCAAATGCAAAGGAGACTCAATGTATCACATGATTGATATAGTGTCAGGGGACTCCAAGTTTCGACTGCACATTCAGAACATTCGAGCTTGATTCAATCCACTTGGTGACTATCAGACTTTGACAACACAGGCTAGGGTCTCCACACTGAGCCAGCTCTGAATACCCAACACAAGGACTGATGGATGCCAACTTGCATGAATTGGTAAAGCTGGCCCTAATTGAGGTAAATTTTCAATTATACTTCCATGTGCACAGACCATGCCCTATGAGTATATAAGCAGTAGTAGGGTAGTACTACTCTCCTTAGATCTGATCTCTGAGGAATCTCCACAGTCTTGTAGAGATAGGCCTAGTGTCAGGGGATGTCCCTAAAATCAATTGCAAACAGCTGCAATTGACAACAATCAGAGCACAGTCACATGGCATGACACCCCAAATGACAGCCAATACTACAATCACCTGACTCCAGGAAGGACAGATCCCAGAATGTGAGATGTCAGTCATAGATCATGCAGGACTGACCAGACCAGAGACATGAGGTGCCTGCCCTAAACAAGCTGTATAGTCAGCCACAGACTTTGCTTCCTTTTTACTTCCATACCTAGACATATATAGAACCCTAGGTATAGCCCCTGTAGCTCTTTAGAGCTAATCTCTTAGGAACCCCATGGTCCAAGGTCATTAGGTTCTAAACACAAAGCTTTGATTGTTCCAAACATGCACACAACACACACACAAATGTGCCTGTCAGCTGCCGATCCCCACTCACTCTATAACACCCCTGTCAATCCCTCTGTTTGTGAATGTTAGGGCAACACAGGCTGACTAAGTCTGCTCACCTAAGAGTGCCAAGAGTCTAAGCAGGCAACAAGGAAGTGGAGTAGACCT